TTTTAGACAGCTCCAAACCTTACATTTATCCAGGTTTATTATTTCGAGCTACTTTCCGAACACTGGCATGAAGATCCATTCTAAATGCTTGAATTATTTGGGCATCGTGAATGTGTGGTACATTATTGTGAATAAAAAATATCAGTGTGCCATGACCGTTTCCATAGTAAAAAACAATTGAACTAATAAAGAAATCTGACATTTCAGTTTAAATCGATGTTATAATTAATTTATAGTGATAGAATATGTTAGATTTAATTATTAGTTACGTCAACACCCTGTATGCTATTATTTTCATATTTGGTATAGGGGGGTTTTCGATGATGCTAAATAACAATATGCTATTATCAGACCATTTAAAAATTGCCTAATATATTTTTCTAAAAATATTTGTTGTTTTTTTATTATAACAACGAACGCCACTGGTGAAAATTAAATTTTCTTCTGTCGTCATGATCACCTGATGGGTAAGTCCAATTGACCAAAATTTTGTAAAAATCGTATTAATAATAACGGAGCTACAATATGGGAGTCATGAAAAGTGAGACACACTGTATATATAGATAACTATATATGAACAAGTTTTGTTTATACCCTTTAGGGTTTAATGTGGTGTGCAACTATATTTCCATGTTTAAGTACATGTTTACCTAATCCTGACGTATCGTATTTTCATTTTTGGTGTATACAGCTGACGTGTATTTCCACACGTTTACTGATAATTAAGTCGCCCACTCACTGGCGTTGGGTGATATACTGCAATGTATACTTTTAGTAAACATTCTATAGTATATTATACTATAAACCACATAGTTATTGGACACTTAACGAATATTATTTATTTAAAATATTTATATGCCGTTGTTTTAAAGATTTTAGTTTTTTTCTTATGAATATATAAAAAGGATAGTGTTTTTGTTTAAACTTTATTTACGTTTACTTAAAAATAAGAATATTTGAATTTTTAATAATAGTTTTATAAAAACCTGCAACAAAATATAGTAATTGGACATTTTATATGGTAATTGGACACATGTACCATAGTTATTGGACATACAATTTTTATATAAACATAATAACTTTACATCAAATAACATAAATTGATAAATATTTTTAAGATAAATTGCTGTTTTAGGTCATTTTTTTTTCGTTTTTGTAAATATCATATAATTCATATATTTCTTCCTCGAATTCCTCATCCCTTTTCTGGATTCTGAGGTTAACTACTAATTCCTTGGTTTGTAGTTTGTTGCAAATATCATTACGTGTGGTATCTCTATAGAGATACCGAAAAAATATGAGATATAATATTTTTTCGGGTGGTATGTTAAAAGTATTTTCCGAATTTATTAATTTTGTTGCCATTAGTTTTTAATGTTTTCTATCATGCACTGTATTTAAATCACTGTTATTCTGCAAGATGTCCTGTGACGAAGAAATCACTATATTACTTACTTTCTAAAAATGAATTAGTCAAAAATGTCATAGCGAAAAAGTATCCACTAAAATGTCGTCAAAAGTTATAAAAGTAGAACAGTTTTTGAAATATAAGCAATTTTACATACAATATGGAATTGCCTATATCTCAAAAACTGCTTAACTTTTAAAGTTTTTGACGGTCTTTTCGGATTCAGGGAACAATTTTACATAAGAATTGGCTGGTAAATGTCCTGGATACAAATAGAGTATGATATTGGATACAAATAGAGTATGATATTGGACATATGTCCAATAATAGAAATTTATAAATTTAAATGTATACATTTTTTACCAACCAGTAAGTAATTGAACACTGGCCATTTTACTGTTTGTTTTCAGAATTAAAATTAAAACGCAATAAAGTGACAATGTTTAAACCATGATGATTTACATACAATATGGAATTGCCTATATCTCAAAAACTGCTTAACTTTTAAAGTTTTTGACGGTCTTTTCGGATTCAGGGAACAATTTTACATAAGAATTGGCTGGTAAATGTCATGGATACAAATAGAGTATGATATTGGATACAAATAGAGTATGATATTGGACATATGTCCAATAATAGAAATTTATAAATTTAAATGTATACATTTTTTACCAACCAGTAAGTAATTGAACACTGGCCATTTTACTGTTTGTTTTCAGAATTAAAATTAAAACGCAATAAAGTGACAATGTTTAAACCATGAGGAACACATTTATACCACACACTGATCTGTACACTTTTTAGAAATATTTTTTATTGTAATTTAAACACAGCCCTGCTCTTAATAAAAAAACAAAAATCTTACCCACCAAAGTAACGTGCGAACTTTTTTGTCCTATATTGGACCCAAAATAAAGTAGTTCTATATTATTACCGATTGAGATAGTTATAATTGTATACAGCGTCATCTAATGATTTGACTTTAAGGTTACTATTTATAGAACTCTTGTTTTTACAGTATTAATGTTAATTGTCCAATAACTAAGTGTCCGATAACTGTAGTTTACCCGATGACAGTTGCGGATCCAAAAAATCATTTTTTATTGATTTTTGATTTTTTAAATAAAAATCATCGATTTTTGTTTTTTGTACATAATGATTTTTTCGAACCCTGGGTAACAGATAGATAATTAACGTTAAAATATGAGGCACCATATGTTCCATAATTATTTCATTCGATATATAAAATGTTTTTCAGAAAATAAAATATATAACTACATTTTTGCTTATTTATATTTTAAAATATAATATGGCGCTGCATGGTGCTAAATTCAATATATATATTTTTTTGAATTTTATCAACTTATATAAAACTTATATTGTAAAATATATATAAGCAAAATTGTACTAAATTTTACATATATATTATTTTAACTGCAAAACATTTTATATATCGAATGAAATAATTATGGAACATATGGCGCCTCATATTAAAACGTTAATTTTTTGATGTAAAAATGTCCAAAAAGTATAATGCTTCGCAAAGTAAAATCTATATAAATCAGCAGGAATGCATTTTGGCTACGTAGCAGGTTCGAATTGCTTAGTGTAGGTTTTTAGGGACATTATTTTTGAAATGGTAAAAAGGAACAGAGATACGGCCATAACTCAAACTTAACATTACATATTGCACACAACGCTTCTTTTATGGTTCTGATTCGGTGTTTTCCTGACATTTCCGACCGACGTCGTTACATTTTCTGCATGCTCGCAGTTCGCATCATTTTTTCCAGGACGTTTTGTTTGCGCTCAACTTTTTCAACCCTTCTTTTTTCGAGGCGTTCGCTACATTTTTTGTGCCGGATAAACGCTTTAATTCGTTTCCCATTCGATCCAAAATAATGTTTTGTCTGTTTAATTTTTCAAATTCTTTTTTTATAGAGAAAGAAAGCGCATTGTTGCAATCTAATTAATAAATGGTTTTGATACGTAGCATATGGGTCATTTTCACCCGCTTTCAGGAAAATGAAGATCAAAATTTTTTTTTTGCTTAAATTGACTTTTGGTTGGATTTTTATAAATGTTTAGAGTTTTGTTTACTTACATTTAAGACAGGCAGTGCACTTTTTAATTTTTTTTACGTTTTTTTTCAGAAAAATGTGTTTAGCTAGCTTTATATATCTCCACTGTGTTACCAATTTGAAATCCAAAATTGAATTCAATAAAAAAGTTGTTATAAAAATAATTTGAAATAAAATGTACTTAGTTCACAAACTTTTTATTTTATTTTTTATTAAAAATTTTATGCTTTTTTAAATATGTATTTTTGTTAAGTTATTTTTTAAAAGAAACCATTCCGATTCTTTGTTAAAAAAAATACCATTAATATTTTCTAGTAAGTTAAACTCTAATTTATAAACACGTATTACCGTGTATAAAAATAATTTTTTTTAACAAAAGAAAATAATGAAATAGACATTGGTATCACAACGGACTGGGGTACACAAAGACTTAATCAGATAACGTAAAAAAGAAACTATAAAGGGGGGTACGATTTTAGAGTAATGCATAAACAAAATCCCTTGTAGTGGTGCTCACTTGCAGAATAACAACTTAGATTTCTAAATTGTAGACACCCTTTTTCTTTGACTATAAGCTGGTGAAGGTCCCTTTTAGTACTTGTATATTGCGTGGAATTTTCCCTTGGATGTAATCTATTTCATGAGTTGTAATCACAAATAATTTTAAATTGGTTTATCATAAACTACTTTTAATAAAAGCGACGGTAAATATACACTTTGTTGTCGAAAAATTCTATTGCGTTACCCTAAATTCCATTGCGTTACCATAAGGTAACGTAATGGACTCGGTAACGCAGTGGACAAAGTTTTGTGAAACCATGTTTAAAAAATAATAATAAGACATTTCAGTCATTAATTACTCTCAATGAGCTTTAGTGCCCTAAAATAAACAGAAACATGAAAAATAGTATTTTTTCTTACCCTATTTTTATTTATTTTTTTGAGTAACTTAGCGTACAAACAAATATTACATTCGCGTTACCCGCACCTGTTTCAACCGATATCTTTTTCCTGATTGAATAAATAAATTCAGCTGGGTAATGTGTACGTCCGAACATAATTTGTTGATCACGTGAGTGCCATATATATGTTTTTTTAATATTCTATCGGTAACGAGACGGACGTAACGCAACGACATGAGTCCAATTTAAAAAAAGTATATTAAAATTCATTATTTTATATATAATTTGTTTACTTTATTAACTAAGGATGTTATGGATTGCTATAAATTTAAAAAAAAAACATGTATGTAAGTTTTATAAAACGCTAATGGGACATGCAAAAATGTATGTTTCACAAGTTTCAAAATTAAAAAAAAAATATTCTGAAATAACTAAACAAACATTTTCTGAAAGAGTTTACTAAGGGCTTGTTAGGCTTTCACTTGGTTGTTAAATCAATAAGATCCGATAATTTTTAACAAAGTTATTGGAATTCAAACTTACGGACAGCGGAAGGCGGGTGTTGTTTGAAAACGACCCATATACTAATTAAGCCAATTTTTTTTTCAGAATGATGAACTATCCGTGGATTGTCAAACTATTGCTGTTATTTTACATTGCACAAGGTAAGTCAGTTTAATTTATACAAAATTATAAATTAAAAAAAAATTGATATCTCCCAATTTTATGAATCATATTCTTGATGACAACTAAACTGCGCACCACTCAATGTGTCGCGACCAAAAAGTTCGTTCTTTTTCAAAACGACATAACTTTTTTGTTTCTTGAACGATTTTATTTTGGTCTGTGATGTCTACTAGACTCATCCTCTGGTAATTTATGCTATAGATATGAAGCTCACGGTTCTTCAAGTAAATTTCCTACAGGGTGATATGTAAAACGCTGAAAAATTTCAATAACTTCATCCAAGCCCCGTTTGAAAAAAAAATATTTTTTTCTCGTTTTTACTTTAAAATAATAAAGTATTATGTCTTACCTTAAAACGTTTTTCAAATTTTTTGAATTGGAATCTTAGCAACAAAAATATTACTTTTTTTCAAAAGAGTACATTTAAGGAAACTTCCATTAATTTAGAGGAACCTAAGCAAAGACCACTTTTTAAAAATGACATTTTGGTGAAAATTTGCGAAAACTAAACCTGAACCGATTTTTGCGTTCGTGACATGTTTTCTGCATAATTTTGACCTGATTGTGATTCAGTTGTCAAATTTAAGTTTCAGATAAAACACATATCACCCCGTAGGAAATTTTCTTGAAAAACATTGAGATTCATATCTACAGCATGAATTGCCAGAGGATGGGGCTAGCAGACATCATAGACTAAAAAAAATCGTTCGAGAAACAAAAAAGTTATGTCCTGTTGAAAAAGTACTAAATTTTTGGTCGCGACACATTGAGTGGTGGGCAGTTTATTTCCATCAGAATGGCAAGAATTTCTAGATACTTGTTTCTCTGATTACAAAATTATTTAATCAAAAATTTAAATGCATAGTTTACATACAATTATCATCCACCAAACAGTGAAGACGCTTTAGCTTGCTACTGATTAGAATCAGGCCATTAAATATTTATATTTTGACTTAACACTTTGAACACCGCTGAAAATGTTACTGAAGGTTACGAATTCTTCGAATAATTTATTCATTAGGGGTGCATACTAAACGACTTGAAAAATAAATAAATTTGGAAATGTATTCGAGCCTCTCAAAAACTTTATTGTTAGATTGCCCCAAGTATCACTTATTGAATAACACACTTTTCTACTCCCACCTTTAAAATGCCCTTTATCGTACATGTTTCCATGACACCAAGTACACACTGACAATTTGTGGCTTTATTATGTATTAAAACAAAAAAATAGTTTGTCTTGATAAAGTAAAGATCCCTATTCGTAAATATAGTTATTATTATTTGTCCAAAAAAACAGTTCTATACCGTTTACAAAAACGTTTTGTAATATTAATGAAACCCTAATGGTATTATTCATAGAAATTTTGTAAATTTTACAAATCCCTTTTGGTTTAAAATAAAACATTTTTTATAATATTATTAAAATTTATGTAAATTTTACAACAAATTAATTGTTAATTCAATAAACTATTTTCATTGTAACAATGGTCACATTTTCAACCTACTGTTGGGTGTTGGGTAGTTTTTTTTTAATAATTGCAAGGCATTAAAACAAATTATGTATTATAACAAAAAAATTAACTCATATTATATGATGTACAAAATATGAACTCACTTTTTAAACAACAAGTCTGCTTCGTTTATAGAATATACCTTAAATATTTCTTTTAGAAAACGTCGAAATTTTAATTTTCTTAGCGATCTTTTTGATATTTTTATCATCCTAGATTTTACTACACTTCACTCGCACAAGTAAAATCTATAAGATTATAACACAGACTGTGGATTATAAAGTTATGTTCACCAAGGAGAGCGCTGGCCCTTTCCCCCTCTTTTTAAGGGAAATAACAAAAATTTTCTTACCATTGCAAAATAATAGTAAATATTAAAAAAGTCTTTTTAAAGCAATAAAATATTTTTGTTATTGTTCTTAACGTAAGCTATTAACTAAGATTTTATAACTAAAATAAAATTAATTTGGATTACAACGATAGTAATTTTAAAAAGGGCATATAGCATATTTATGCTATAGCAAAATTAACAAATTTTACTATAACAACTGCGCATTACTTTATGTAAGCGCAATTCACACACAACTATAGATTTAACAAAAACATTTTAAGTTCGACAAGGATTTAATATAAACATAAAGTATTTATTATGATAACAACTATTACTCTGTTGGATGAACATTTTTTTTTATAAAAGCTCAACATTGCTGCTTCATTATAGTATAAATCAGAATTTTATTAGCAGTAAAAAAAGTTTATTCTGTAAATAAAAATAATCTCATTACTTTGACAAATCGTAGATTTTTGTCCCAATAAGACACTTAGGTGGTACATTTTTTTATAGCCATTACAATTTTAAATTTAAGTTAAATAATATAATTTTATTAATCGCTTTCAAAATTAGTTTCATTAACAGTGAATGTATATTTTTCTGAGTGTAGCTTTAAGTTAGTTGACAGTCCTCAAAATAAAGTGAAATAATACTATAGTATTTATAAATGTGGAAGTTATTTTATTATCAGCATTAAACATTTCTGGTGGAGTAACCATAAGCATCCTCTTCACTTTCACTGTGAATATCGGATTTTAATGATTGATAGTCATTTTAAAGAGATGAATTTCGATTTTTATTTTATTTTTATAAAGGTAGGTACCTAATAATATTTATCTAGGAAAATGTAACTAGTTCTTAAACTTTTGTAGACACTCGTTTTATTAAACATTAAATTTATTTAATATTAATATAATAATATAATATAATAATTTGTATAATCTGATTTCCTCGATGGATCTTTTAAATGTTTAGTTGTTTTGAATTTTAATGTTAACTAAAAATCCATAAAAGTTCAAGACGATAATTTTTAGTATTTCTCACTTCTTTTGAGACTTCTTTAAAAGTGTAAATAATCTTTAATATAAAACTTTTTGAAGATCAAGTAGTTATAAGTTTATCGGTATACATCTTTGCCGTCAAACGTCGGGCAAATTATTTTTGCAGTAAATATTTAAAAACTTTGTCGAGTGCCATTTAAATATTTATATACGCCGTAAACTTTTGTGTTTCGTGTAGATGGTGAAAAGTTTCCTAGTTATTATTCATCCACCGAAAGTTTATTAAGCAAAACAAAATTTGAGTGTTTATAAATGCGACCATTTATAAATATATCCTTATATATTTGCGCATTATTATTTACATTTTTCTAAATACGACGATACCTCATAAGTAGGGTTTAGTAAACATAGTCACAAATTTAAACATATTAAAAAAACTTCAATCATTTTGAAAATATATTTTTTTGATTGTTAATAATAATTTTAAGGTTTTATTTACACTAGGAATTGTTTAAAAAAGAACACAATTTTATTATTTATAAAAAAATGCTGAGTAAAATTTTTCAACTTTCTTATACATAAGTAGGTATTTTTAATTTATTTTTTCTTTAAAACGCCCTTTATCGTACATGTTTCCATGACACTAAGTGACCTTTTAAATACACATTGACAAGTTGTGGCTTTATGGCGCTGTAGTCACGGGCTGAAGTTAGCAACAGGTTTTTAGTCACGGGCTGAAGTTAGTTTTAAGTTAGTTGACAGCTGTCAAATGTTATACAATCGTTAAAATAAAGTGCCTTTCTTGTAAAATAATACTAAATGTGAAAATTATTTTATTATCTCAATACAAAAATACAAAAGTATTAAATAGTTTCTCAACTTCAATATTTGAAAAGTTTATATGAACATTGTACTGACCTTTTAATTTCGACGGCAGTAAACTATAACTTAAATTCGGGCACGGACTCCACTGTAAAGTCCTCATAAAACATTTTCTTTACTTTCACTGTCAAAAACTGTCAATTTTCAAGAAATACATTTCGATTTATAACCTTTATAATTGTGTTTAGAAAATGTAAAAATTTGACATTTGACGGTGACACACAGATTCCCCTATTGTTTCACAGATGGCGCTCTATACAAATTTTTGATTTAAATCATTTTAAAATAATAATAAGTACATATTTGTCGTAGAAAAAGTATAGTATGCACAAATGTGCAAAAATGTGCGCTCAATCCAAAAGGTCATTTATAAGAGCTGTGACCCAGGAGACGTGACCTAGGGGACCAAAAGTAAGGGACAAACTTTAGGGATTATTTACACCATTTGTATTTTTAAATATTACCACAAATGGTCTTTTTCTGTAATATTTGGAATATATTCTCGACTATATTAAAAAGGAGGAGGGTGTTATTTTACTCTGATGTTTAAATAGCATTAAGTAGTGAATATTATTGCAAGTGGACAGCTACTTTTCTGTACTCTTGGGGAAAGTTTAATTTTTAGTACAGGGTTAAATTTACAATTTTGCTTCATGCGCCAATGTTTTGAATTGGTGTCTGTTTTAGTTTAGACGAGGTAAAGGACAGTTTAGTGAATTCAAATTTAAGCATTTTAAAATAATCTTTAAGTATGTACCCTTAAAAGGATAAAATATCAGTGTATGTCAAATATCACCATAAATCTGAATGTAATACCTTTATACTAAAGTGGCATCTTTAAACTTTACGTATGTCTTTATGTTGAAACGTGTCTCAAAGAGTGTATTTTAAAAGGTTTTGCTTTTAGCCTTACATATTCTTTCATACGAATCTACATTGTGTATACAGTCTTATTGTCATCGTTTTTAGCAAAATGAAAGTCTCGTTACTTTAAAGCTTTTATCTGCCAGATAGGTTCGCACTTTTTACTTTTTTCTGTAAATGCTCCATCATCAAATGTTGATGAGCTTAAAGATTAAATAAATGCTTTTGAACAGTTAATTTTGAAGATTCTAAATTGTGAGATTTTGTAAGATTAGTCCTTAAATACTAAACAATAATGTAATGTTGTTTTTCTTAAACCCTTTATAAAGGGTGAATCCTTATAGGGGGAGCAGGGGATAACTTTAAAATTTTCAATGGAACACCCT